AGTTATTATTAGTTTTTGTGTTTTTTTTTTTTTAATAGAACTGTCTAATGTATTGTCAGTGTCCCCAACCAGGACTTTAGGAGAATGGGAACAGTCATCGTGGGACAGCCTCTGTTTTAGGGAAGAGGAAAGGCACCAAACTAAGTAGAACAGAGATTCAGTCTACACAGAGGACAAGGGCAGGATGAAGGGAATACACTCTATTTATTAAATACATTCCTAACAAGAAGTGCCTTGAATATCAGCATTTTTATTAATATGTTGATCCAAAGCTGACAAGATTCCTGAAAATATCCAGCTTGGAGCATACAGGGCTCAGAAACAGGGTCTTTCTTCCCAGGGGCTTCTCCCAGGGTGACGAACCTGAACCCCCACTACCCCTGTCCCTTGGCTTCCTGGTTTTACCCTCAAGCCAATGACACGACTGTCATGGTGAACATTTCCCTGTCAGAAACCTAGAAATGATTTATTTTCTAGTTAGAAGAAAATAAATGGCAAGTCCTCAGACACAAATGAAAACGTTCAGAATCAAGGCCCAAAATACTCGAACTCCTCAAAGAACTCGTCAATAAATTTCTCTTTGAGAGACATCACAGCAAACACGATGACTCCTTTAACTTCAAGAACTTCTGCATCCCAGTGTGCTAAACAAAGTTAGGTAGGAATCAAAGTGGAATTTTGAAGGATTTGGAATTTTTTTTTTCTAAGAGAAAGAAGGAATATGACCCTTATATCATTGTCACTTTGTAAAAGGCCATATAAACTAAGAATGGACCAGACCAGAAGGCCAGAGTATCCCCGCACTGGTGTTCCAGTCCTGCAGTCTACTAGCTGTGTGACTTTAGCATGGGACTCAGCCTTTCCATTTCCTCACTTAGCAAATAAGGCTTATTATAATTAGCTTGTAAGTTTTCATGAGGCTTGGAGACTCTCTACACAAAGCATCTATCATAGTATACGGCAGAGTTTAGGTTTAGTATGTGGTGGGAAGTATTTGTTGGACTCAATACATGGCTATGCTTACAAACAATTTTAAATGTTCATCATATGTTCTGTAACACCTGGTGGTCGCTGTGCCATGACTATTGAGGGAGGTAGGATGGTGCTGGGGCCAGTGGGAGTTGGGGAGAGCTTGCATACGTGCCACCGAGCTTGAAACTTATTCTGTAGACAAAGGTGAACACTTGAAACTTTGAGGATAAGGAAGTGACATGGTTAGAGCTGCCATCAAAGGAGCAGTATGATGTAGAAGAAAACACCCTACGTTTGGGATCACAGCCGAGTGGACATCTTCATTCTGTGAACTTCCCTGCCTTGTGATGTGGGCAAGTCAGTGAACACCTCTGATTCTCTTGCAGTCCCTGCACCTGTAAAACAGGACTAATAATCACCCTTTATTCCTAACCAAAGCATGTTAAAATGTTGAGAAAAGGGGAGGTCCATGATGAATGTATTAATAAATTATTACTTTTAGTTCCTTTGAGATTGCACCTTCTATCTAAAAGGAAAGGTTCACTGTTATCACAGTTGATGGATTTTTGTTGAATTTTTGGCTTAAAATTCATGCATGAAAATGCCTTTCAGAGAGTCAGGATACTTACTGCAAAGTACCCTTTTAGATCATTTAAAGAATTGCAAAGAGATGGGAGCCCTGGTCTGTGCTCCCAGTTCCGCCATGTTATACTCGTGTGTAATGTGATACTTGCATGTAGTATCTGCCCTTTCTGAGTCTCAGCATTTGGGTATTTGAGCATTTCTTTGAACAGGGAAGAAATTGGGAAGGAGAATAAGGCAGGTCAGGTAGATGCAGTGACTCAAGAGGAGGCTGGCTCCACAACTTGCTTGCATCTCTCAGAGCCCTGGGCTGCTAAACAAGCTCAGCATTCTTTCAGTACAGAACTTGTCTTTCTAGTGAGCTTTGTCTCCGAGGTCACCAAATGCTTTATTATGGGATCCGTAGTGAGATGTAGAGCCGGCAGAGGCTGAACTCACTGGGAGTTGGTATTAGTTAAATCGATCAATCAACCCGTTCTGTCCCAGGGCCAGTGGTGGGGTCCCCTCTGTTTCTCCCCAGTTGCTCCATATCTGACAACTCTATTACTTAGCCCTTTAGCTTCTCCTTGCCTGGATCCTGCTGCTACAGATCTCAGGGCCTCGCTTGCCTTCTCCTTATGGAGCAGCCACTGTCTTACCCATTCACTGAGGTTCTTTCAAATTGTATTGTTCTCCTGGCAGAGAAGCATGGCCCTTTGTCCTTTTAAGGCCAAGAGGTAGAGGTAAACATTACCCTCCAGAGCCAGGAAAATAGCATAAAGATTCAAGAGGGCTGGGTGAAAACAGTGGCAAACTGGAGGGGAGCACCTGGTCCACATGTTTTTTGCTCCTTTTGTTTTTTTGTTTTGTTTTGTTTTTGCAATGCAGAAATGCAGACCCAGTGTTGTCTGTTTTCTTGCTTTTGTTTTTTTGTTTTTTTCCAAGAGAAACCAGAAATCTGATTTTTTTTAAATGTTAAATGCATTTAATTTTTAAGTTTTAGCAACTTACTAAGTTTTTAGAAAAATACTGTCATTGGAAATATTCTAGTTCTTAACTTGAGGAAAGAGTTCACAGGTATTTGTTAAACCTTTGCTTCACAATGCATTTTATATAGGAGTATGATTAAATTTATCACCCAAACCAGGGCAATTTGATAGAGTAAAAGAGGTACAATTAATAATTTTGTCAGGTATAAGGACTTTTCCTTTCAAATATGACATCCTCCAACCATTTTGAAGGAATGGTAAAAGAAGTGTTTGTAAAAGGGTGAGGAGACGGGCCTTGATGGATCACAGGACGACACTCAGGCTGGAATTAACATGGTACATTCAGGACCAGTCAGGAGACCTGATCAGTGTCAGAGAAGTCTCTCCAATGGGCAGAGGTTGGAATACATCTGTCTATTCAGTAAAGTAGAGCCAGATTATGGGGTGTTTTGAAAGCTAATGCAAAGGATTCCAGACTTGATGCAACTGGCAATAGGAACTGATGTTTGCTCTTCAAGAAAGGAAAAGGCAGTGGCATGCACACGATGGACCAGAGGAACAAAAGGAGTGACAGGATGGAAGAAGCATTTTCACACACTAGGATGCAGAGCATAGTTTGTTAATACACTCAACAAGCCTTTCCTGAACACCCACAGTGTACTGGGCACTGTCCTACGAAGTAGGAAATAGAAAGACAGGAAAGACAATCCACTGGGGCAGTCAGAATTATTAAAAGACAATTACCATGTTTCCATGGATAGCAGAGGTGATACCTGAGTAGATATCTGTAGAAAGAGTGGAGATGGCCATATTGAAGGGGTGGGGATGAGAGGGGCATCCTAAGCAGAGGCACCAGGGATGGTGTGATATGGTGTGAAAAGGGAGTGACCAGTGGCTCCATGTCCTGAGCTTGGAAATAAATACTAGTGAGATTTTAGGCTGGAGCTCAGTCAAGGGTGAGACAGATCCTGCAGGCCTTGAGGCAGGGCTGAAGACAAGCCCCCAGCGGTGAGGCAGCGAGAGCAGATGCAAGAAAAAACAGAAGAGCTCTGGAAAGAGCTAGGATAGCTGAGGTTGAGATGGGCAAGTTGTGTGTCACAGAAGCAAAGGGGAAAAATGGAGTTCCAATAGCAGCCCATAACTGAGAGAGTGTGACGGGCAGAGGCCCGGAAGAGGGAGGGCTTGGCTAGAAGGAGGTCATTAGTAGGCTCCAGCTTGCATCTCCAAATAGACTAAGATGAAGCTAATTCATCGTCTTTCCATAGCTGCCAACTCTACAGAATCACCTTTCCTCAGTCTTAGACAGAAAGGGAAGTCTGAGCTGCCTAGGCAACTGGCTTTTCACTTTCCTCCTGTTTGCAGAGTCTAGTGGCCAGCAGAGGGGGAGGAGCTGGGAGCTGTAACCTCTGGTGATTCATCATGCATGCCCTGTGACCACATTCACGTTCTCTCTCTCTCTTTCGCTTTCTCTCTCTCTCTCTCTCTCTCTCACACACACACACACAGAGGAAGTGAGCGGAAGAGTTTACGTGTCTCTCTGCACATTACTACAGAAGATAACAAAGTGTTACTCTAGGGAGGAGGGGATGGGTACATACAACCACAACGAGTAAGATGTGCAACGTTTGGGGGATGGACATGCTTGAAGCTCTTACTCGAGGGGGCAGGGGGACATGGGCAATATAAGTAACCTTAACACTTGTACCCCCATAATACACTAAAATAAAAAAATAAATTAAAAAAAATAAAGATGAAGCAGACAAAAGCTTCTCCCCCCACACACACACACACACACAAAAAGTGTTACAGTTTTAAGTTTTCTGAATTCTGAGTCTTGAAAAAAGTAGCGAACAGTGAAGCTTCCTCAAAACAGAGATTCTGGGCACTGTCCGCAGTTAACAGCAGCTAGCATCGTGGAATCCCTGTGCAGATCTGGCTTGATACTGTGTTATGCAATTATTTTTATCTTGAGATCGGATCTGAATCATTCTGAGCCAGTGTCATCTGATACGACTCCAGGTGTTCTCAGATCACTGCCTAACACTGAGTCTCAGTGCTGGACCTACTAGATTCAGTACATGTGGGGCGGGGGGTTATACGTTTTGTAACAGCAAATCCTACCCCCTTGTTGAAAAGTCTAATAACTTGCCTGATTTCCTATTTTGATGAGCCCTCAATGGACACATGCTGTTTTTGGTAGTAGGTTACACCTGTCCGACATGGGGACACTAACAAACAAAGAGTGAGAACCCAAAATGTATGTCTTTAGAAATTAATTTCTGCTTTAAAAAAACTACCAGAGGAAATGTAAAATATAGTTCCATAACTGTGAAGTATTAATAATATCTATTCTAAATGTATAGCTCATGTTGTACTAATATAATAGAAATAAACATGTTTGGAATCCTATAACTTGATCCTTAAGAATTCACTGCACTAATAGTTTGGGGTTTTGTGTTTATTCTATTTCTGCTACAGGTGCTGGTCTCAGCGTCAGTGATAATGAATCTGGCCAAGGCAGCCAGGAGGGAGGCACCTTGACCGACTCCCAGATCGTAGAGCTCCGCAGGATACCCATCGCCGACACCCACCTCTAGTGCCCCACTAACCCTTAGACTGAGCATACTTCCTATTTGTATTGGCTTTTGTGCTAAAATTCTATAGGTACATGCAGCTATGTAGTAGGAATCTGTGAATTGAACTGGATGATTAACACAGAAGTTATTGTTGTATTTGGAATATAAATCACTTACTTTGTGCAACCTGAAAATTCACTGCTGTAATGAAAGACTGGATCAGTTTATATCAGTTAATAGGATGTACACATTCAAAGATTACTAGTTGTTTTTTAATCATTCTACATGGCTAACATTGTTTAATGAAAGTAATAATCAATAAAAGCAATAGAATCCATTTAGTATCATCCAGGCTCATTATTTATAAAGAAACATTAGGCATGGGCAAAAAATATCTGTATCTAAGTGTTGTCAAGCACCGTGCGTCAGGTAGCATTGATACAGGTGATCCAGATTCAAGACTTCACTGCACCTAGAAGACTTTAATTCCTGAAAACCATAAAATTGTCTGTCGATGATCCTGCACCTAAATGTTGACAGGGATACTGAGGTTGGCACAGTCTTTCATCAACAGTACATATTTCTATTCACTATAAAATTAGGATCTGAACACTTTCCAGAATGCACGTTCTGTCCCCAGTTAAAAATAACTCCATCAAGCATTTTCAAGCAGCTAAGAAGAGGATCGTTCAAACAATACAGAATTTGTTTTGGAGAAAAATTTCTTGGTTTGGACTTTTCAGTCTTTCTTTGTCTTGAAATGAGAAATCAAAAAGTCTGTCCCAGAAAAAACACTGTTGTGTTCTGATGATTTCATTGACTGTGTTTCCAGAAGAATCATTAGGAAGAGAACAAGCTTGTCCTGAGGAAAGCATTTTGACCTTTTATTTTAGAATTCTTAAGTATTTCTGAGAAAATCAGTGTCATTTCAAGAAAAATTTAAAAAACCAAGAGAAAATTTTGTTCTGTTAATAATTTCCCTTGAAGCCATAATTAAAACATCCAAGTGCCTCTAAGTTCATTACAACAACAAATCCAAGTGCTCCATCATCATCATTATTAAGCATGGCTTTATTTGTTATAAAGCCTGAGGTGGCATTATTTATCTTGATAAATTATAATATGACTCTCTTCTCCTCTTCTGGTGAGTTCTCCCCTCCCCATCTCTTCCCTCTTACATTGAGTTTTGTTTAGTATAGATTGTCATTGTAAGTAGAAAACAAAGGCTGCAAAACAAAGTCAAACAGCATGAAAAACAAAGGCTTCATCTTTGGTAGAATCATAATCGTTTTTTTTAGGAACTTTAGAAATCATAGTAATAAGATTGAATTAAGTGACACCCTAAGTGACAAGTCACCCTTAAGTCACCCTAAGTGACAAGTTAGTTGTGTCTTCTAACCTACAGCTTTAACTGTAGTTTGTTCCATGATAGAATAGAAGCAATTAATGAAATTGGTCATAATACATAAAATGGAAGGTGGAAATTTTGAAATTGATAAACATTTTACAGTCGTTAATGGATTTTAATGAATTTGAAGCTTAAGGTAATGATTACAGAAATATGAGATTTCATTGTGTGGAATTCACAAATCATAATCACTGCTAACATTTTTAGCAGATAACTAGATGTCTAATTCTCTAACAAAGACAATTGTCAATAGCTATTTTCTTTTCTCTGTGTTGTCAGAATTTGGGAAAACCTGGCAAAAAACATGACCAATCAGGGACACCTTTCGTACTGGATTTCTCTTGCTGTCCAAATTGCCATCTTGATAAGAAATCAAAAGGACCACCTGCCACTGATCAGCACAATTCTTTTAAATATTGGAAGGAAAAGCCAAAGTTTCTAGAAGCCACAAAGCTAAAAGCCAGTAAGATTCATACACCAACAGCAACAATAGTTTGCCATCCTGCATTTTTCCCAATATAGATTAAAATGAGACACCTGCCAGGGAAGTATAGGACTATGTAGGAAGAAGCAAATCAAATCAAATTCTCAAAAATGACCACTATAAGGCTACAACTCTAACATGTTGCCTGTGGCCTTTCTCTTTAGTAGGCTTCATCCTCTTCTTCTCCACGACATTTCTTTTCAGCTTTATGGAGATATAATTCACATTCACTAAAATTCACCCATTTAAAGTGTAAAATTCAATGGTATTTTGTTATATTACATTATTGGTGTTTTTTAATTATGGTAAAATACTTATAACATAAAATTTGCCATTTTAACCATTTTTAAGAGTACAATTCAGTGGGATTAATTACACTTACAATGTTGTGCAACGATCACCTCTATCCATTTCCAAAATGTTTCAGCCCCCCAAACAGAAACTCTGTATTCCCAATCTGCACCACATTTTCTTTCTTTGTCATGAGATACGTAACATTTCCTTGGCAATGTCTATGCTCCTGTATGTGTATGATTTCTTCCTTTTATTTGTTTTTATTTTTGTTTTAGGTTTTAATTTTTTCAACTTTTTAATTTTAGGATGTTAAAAATGAAAAAAACTTTTTTTGTAATTTGGACACAAGTGCACAGGGGTATGCAAATGAGGGATGGGATGATGATAGAACCAGTGGCATTCCTACTAACGAGACAGGAAATACCAGGCAAATGAAAATCTCAGTAAGCAAAACACAGAAAGCATTTCATTCTGGAACTTTAGCTTTGAGTTGGTGTTCACTCTCTTGAGGCATTTTAAGATTTAATCAATATTTTCCATGCCTCCCAAATGCATTCAGAAAAGGAGCTCCCAAACAATTTCACTTTGTGTTTACAGGTACTTAAGTCCTGGAGCTCAGCCTTAAGGCTTCTGGGTAGATCTGTTTGAGGGTAAATCTCAATCAGATAAGTAAGTGGTGTTGACCTTCCCAAAGTGGCTGGGTGCCAGAATGGATCTCCTCTACACACTCTGACCTTGGCAGGAACAAAATTTACTTGTTAATGGCATGGACTCAGTTTCCCCAATGCTTCTCTTGCGGATGCAAGTCAAAGAACCACATTGTCCAGGAGTATAATTTAGAGAATGGAACAGATGACTAAGGCTAGGAAACTTCCATTATCTTGAATCTCTCCTAGGCTCCTTGACTGACTAGCAAAATAAACTGCAACTCAGATGAGTAATATTCTTATTGATAAAATGTATTGTATGAAATGTCTGATTTCCCTAGGTACTAAGATTGATAGTTGATATCTCTGACATTTCACTTTGACAGATCTTATTTTATTTTTATTGTGAAGGTACATCCTTAGTCTTTCAAATGCACATTGTGACTTGTGATTATCTTTCAATTTTTTTTTTAGAGCAATTTTTGTGAAACTATGGATAAGTCATATATTTTCGAATATGAGTTCTGTCATGGAACCAATGCAGCGCAGACAGCTTGAAATATCAACAAAGTGTTTGGGAAGGATGTGGCTAATGAATGCACAGTAGGCCAATGGTTTGAGAAGTTCCATCCTGGTGATTTGCATCTTAAGAATGACCCACATGGGTGACCTGAGACCAAGGTGGATAATGATGAGCTGAAAGCTGTAGTGGAAGCAAATTGATCTCGATCTATGCGTAAATTAGCAGCAAGATCTGATGTTACTATTCCAACAATATTGGACCATTTGAAACAAATCGGCAAGGTAAAGAAGCTGGATAGATGGGTTCTGCATGAATTAAACAAGCCTGAAAAAGAGAAATCATCTCAAAGTTTGCCTTTCTTTGCTATCACGACATAAAGGTGAACCATTTCTACATTGTATTGTTATATGTGATGAAAAACAGATTCTTTTTGACAACTGCAAGTGTTTGGCACAATGGTTGGATAAAGATGAAGTGGCAGAAATACAGTGGCAGAATACTGGATATTCATCAAAGAAAGCTAATGGTGGCCGTTTGGTGGCCCAGCGCTGGTATTATCCACTACACCTTCATGAAACCTGGTCAATCGATTACAGCAGATGTCTACTGCAACCAATTGGATGAAATGATGAGGATGCTTGCAGTTAAGCAGCTGAGATTGGTCAACAGAGACGGGCCAATCCTCTTGCAAGGCAACACTCAACCACATGTTGCACAGCAACGCTGCTAACACTACTGAAGCTAGACTTGGGAACTCTCTGTCATCCACCATATTCATCAGACCTTGCACCCACTGACCACCACTTCTTCCAGGCTTTGGACCACTTCTTGCTAGGAAAAACATTCAATTCTCAACAAGCTGTGGAAAATGCCTTTCTCAATTTCATTGCCACTCGCTCTCTAGGATTCTTCACTGCTGTCATAAACAAACTACCATTAAGATGGCAAAACTGTGTCAATAATTTTAGGCATATACTTTGATTATTTGTACTGCTTCTTGTTTGAGATATAATAAACTATTTTTATTTAAAATCAAACATTTCATATTTAATGAACTATATATTTATTTTATTCTTATTTTTTTCACCTACCTAAACTTTTATCCCATAAAATTTTCAACACTGTGGCAGAAAAACACACTTACTTTACAAAAAAATTAGAAAACCCAAGATGTTTTATTAAACTCTAGCACAGTGAATACATGCACAATATTCCTAAGGAAAAAAAAATATTTCCATTGGTCTATAACTATTCAAATCACCTTGACAAGTTAAGCAGCTACCTTAACCAGGAATTTACTACACTGTAGATAAAAGGGTTTCACAAAGAATGTATTAAAAACAACCCAGTTATTAATATTTACTAATGCTTCAGTACTGTTGATTTATCTTCTACTAAAGTAAATCACATGGTTTCATGAGAAAAAGTAAATGGATAATAACAGTGTTTCCTATCATTTATGACAACGGGATGCCATCATCAAACACTATTGTCATGGTTTTTGAGAGTACTATGGGATGCCTTGGTTCCATTCCCAGCCTACCCCCTGCAGGGGACTCCTCAGCTGGGTCTAGCTACGAGAACCTAGGTTGGTCTCTAAAAATGGCACCTCATGAAAATTATGAGCACTTTTAGTACTTAAGTAGTATTTCAATTCTGTGAGAAAAGATAATTAGTCACTATTTTCTAATAGATCAAATAATTTAAATTTCAGCAGGGTCAAACTATACTTTTTGCCCATAATAAATCATTGAATGTATGAGCAAAATCACAAATTTGATTTTTTTTAAAATTTAGGATTGTATTGCTAGCTTTTGTTTTGTAACAGTAATGATGGAAAGAAACAATGCAAATCATTTCAGCTTCACTCATTTTGGAGAATGATTATATTTATTTCAAAGGTAAGGGTGTGAGTGTGTGAGTGAGAGAGAGAGAGAAAGAGAGATTGAAAAAAGTAATTCTGGGAATTTAGAGCAAGAAAAGCAAGG